TATAGCTCCTTACTGGAACCATATAGCTCCTTACTGGAACCATATAGCTCCATACTGGGACAATACGGATCCATACTGGGATCATATAGCTCCATACTGGAACCATATAGCTCCATACTGGGACAATACGGCTCCATACTGGGACCATACAGCTCCATACTGGGGCCATTCCTGGTGCCCGGGATCATGAAGGTCCACAGGGGCCCATACAGTTCCATACTGCCCAGTCTGGAGCTGGGTAGGGGTCACCCAGGTGGTGACCCCTCTCTCTTGCCCCCCCCAGGCCCCCCTGGCTGGATGGGAGTGTGCAGACCCGCAGTGGGGGGGGTGTCTGTGCCAGGCTCTACCTTCCTCGCAGAGCGTCCCGCTCCAGCCAGCCGGGCAGTGGCAGGTCCCCTCCGCAGGGTGACAGGTCCCCCCGTGGTGGCACAGGCAGGGCTGGGCACAGGCATCACCCCAGGAGCCGGGGGCGCAGGCTGGAGGAGGGGGCGAGGGGTGGGGTCAGCTTTGTTCCGCGCTCCCCCTCTCCCCCGGCCCCCCCCCCGGCCCCCCCACTCACGCTGGGAGCAGCGGGGGCCCCGCCAGCCCGGGGCACAGAGGCAGGAGCCGTCGGTGGGGTGGCAGGAGGAGCCGTTGGCGCAGGAGCAGCTCAGGGAGCAGCGTTTGCCGTAGCGCCCGGGGGGGCAGGCTGGGGTGACACGAGTTGCACCCGGTCTCAGCTCCAGGGCTCGAGGGCCGGGCCGGGGGCAAAGCCGCGGTTTTGGGGGGCGGGAGGGGGGGTTGTTCACTCACGGCGCTGGCAGGTGGGGCCGCGGAACCCCGGGGGGCAGGCGCAGGATCCGTCCTGGGGGGAGCAGGAGGCCCCGTTGCGGCAGGAGCAGGACATGCGGCACCCCCGGCCCCAGGAGCCGTGGGGACAGCCCTGCTTGCACTGCGGCCCTGCGGAGGACGAGGAGGGATAGGAGGGGTGAAGGCCGACGTCCGAGGGCACGGCAGGGCCCCACCGCCCCCCGGGCTCCCCCTCACCCGTCCAGCCGGGCAGGCAGTGGCACTCCCCCGTCACGGTGTCGCAGCCGTCGGCGTGGGCACAGTCACAGTGCCCCCCACAGCCCGCCCCGAACGTCCCGTTCTGCAGCGTGGGGACAGGTCGGGGAGTCACCGCCGGGGCGGTGGCACCAAACCCCGGTGCCAGCGGCACCAGCGCAGCCAGCAGGACTCACCGGGCAGGGCTGCAGGCAGCGGGGGCCCTGCCAGCCCCGTGGGCACCGGCAGGTCCCGCTCTGGGGGTCGCAGGACGCCCCGTGGGCGCAGTCACAGCTCCGGTTGCAGCCGGGACCCCAAATACCAGCGGGACACGGCGTTGAGCAGTCAGGTCCGTGCCAGCCTGCGGGGTGAGGGGACAGCGGGGTGGGCACGGGGACGGGCACAGGGACCCCCCACCCTCGGGTGTGCACCCACCTTCTTTGCAGAAGCAGGACCCGTCGAGGGGGGAGCAGGCCAGGGCGTGCTGGCAGGAGCAGCGCCCCGAGCAGTTCACCCCAAAGGTGTCAGGGGGGCACAGGGAGGAGCAGTGCTCATCCTGGGCGAAGTGTGTGGGGGGGAGAAGAATTCAGAACAGATGGGACCCCCACCCAGGGCTGGGGAAAGGACTCAGGTGTCTGGGGACCACCCCCTCCTCCCTCCTTTTGGCATCCTGGTGCTGCAGGGAGACTGGACAACCCCAAAAACCCCATTCTCCCACAGCAACCCCAAGCTGTCCCCAGGGTTGCCGCTGACCTCCAAGGGATGCCCAGAACCTCAGACAGAACAACCCCAACCCATCCCCAAGGACAGACCCCCATGTTTCCCTCAGGGATGCCCAGACCCCCGTGCTTGTCCCATCTCTGAACAATCCAGAAACCAATCACTCCCACCTAGAACCATCCAGAGCCCCCACGATCCCCCAGCACCACCCAGACCCTCACTCTCCCGCTCAGGGATGCCCCAGGATGCTGCCCCAGCCCCCCAGCCCCCCGTG